TGATTTTTAATTTATAATTAGATGTACAAGCATGATTCAGAACTTATCCCAAAGAAAATAGATGGGTAAGGGTGTGCAAACGCGATATATTAAAGCCAATAAAATTATTGTGTAAACAAAAAAAAACTTATAGGACATCAGCAGAACAGCACCACCGTGTATCGATTTCGGGAGGCGTCCTTTGGTGTCGAAGATACTATTCCATCCCTCCGCAGCGTTATTACCCAACTGTTTGTCTGCGGCATTAAATTATTCCTCTCCCCCAAATTTCGGGACATAAATTGGGATTTGACGACGGCGGGTCTGCCGAACTTCTACGGCATCCGTATCACGTTATTGCTAAGACATCCCCCCATCTCCCCCATTTCCAGGCTGTTGACACCGCTGTTGCGGTTGTTCTAAGGACGGCTGGTATAAAATTACACGCGTATCATCCAGCTAGATCGCCTCTGTAATATTATGATCAGTCGGTACATTTTTAAAGCATATTCGGTTTTGTAAATATATTTTTTTAAGTATATTTGCGTGGGATATACACGAGGTATACCCGATTTGAATCCAATTGACTTCGCTCTTGGCGTAACAGAACGAGAAGGATAATAATGATTTTGTGCGAATATTTAGGTGTGAGTGAGGTGAAAGAATGTTTTTTGATAGAGAATACAGTGTTTTTGTTGTAAAATCAGTATTTCCCGAATTTTTACAGTTCATAGGACACAAATTCCAATAACGAAGGTAAAAACGAAACCAAGGACGACGATAGCGAACCAGCCAAAAAGGGTACAGTTTGTTAGTAAGTAGAAACTACAGTATACCCTTTAGCTTTTTTGGTTTATTTTTTACTCGTACATTTTTAGAGGATTTTATTTTGTAGCGTTGAAATTTAAATTTTTGTGTTTAGGTTTATTATTTAAAGCATTATATAGCATTTATATTTTTTGCTTTTTTTAATTTTATACCTAAGAATATTTAACGTCCAATAGCAATATATTGAATGCAGAACGCTGCAACCACTTACATTTTTTGTATTGTAGACGTATTCACTAGAATTCTACTGCAGTGTCTGATTCAGTCCGGTAGTTGGCAGTATTAAAAAATTGGCAAAGTGCCATCTGCCTTCCTTTGCATGATTCACGAATTTTAAATGTAAATGCTCATTTATATGTTTATGTTATACAGGGTGAGTCAGTTTTTTGTAGTAGGATTTTAACAGTTTATCGAGAATCATTTTTTAATAAGAAACGTTCCTATAAACGTAGGTCTTAGAACGCTTCGTTTGTGAGATATAGGGTGTTGAAAACAAACTTTTTTTAAGAATTTTTCTTAATACCTCTAAAAGACCAACATATATTGGTAAAATTGAAAGAGAGCTGTTTTGTTCAGAATTGATTAAAAAATTTAAAAATGATGTTATTTTCCAGAAAAATCCACGGGCGTACGAATTATTTTTTTAAAGGGGGCAGTAACCCACCTCAGGCACGTCACTGGTGGGTGAAATGGATAACAGATATCTTTGTTTTATTCACCATAACTAATGTGTTATTAATACCAAATTTCAGTTCAATATATGTTGGTCTTTTAGAGATATTAAGAAAAATTCTTAAAAAAAGTTTGTTTTCAACACCCTATATCTCACAAACGAAGCGTTCTAAGACCTACGTTTATAGGAACTTTTCTTATTAAAAAATGATTCTCTATCAACTGTTAAAATCCTACTACAAAAAACTGACTCACCCTGTATATACAGGGTGTCTCACATTTAAATAGCAGGACTTCAGGAATCAGTAGAAGACCTCATTTTGAGTCTAAAAGTTCCTATA